TCCCAACCAGACTGTTTAAAGAGGTATTTCCCCTAAATAATGTCCACATTTTGGATCTACTTAATTTGTCTTTAATGAATGGTTATGTACCACAGCGCTTTAAGGTTGCTGTAATTAAACCTTTACTTAAGAAATCTGACCTTGATTCAGAAATTCTGGCCAACTATAGACCTATATCTAATCTAACATTCAACTCAAAAAATTCTAGAGAAAATAGTTGCAGGTCAGTTGCGTGAACATCTACAAAGAAATAATATGTTTGAAGAGTTTCAGTCGGGGTTTAGAGCTCATCATAGCACAGAAACAGCACTAGTAAAAGTCACTAATGATATTCTCATGGCCTCAGACAATGGACTTGTGTCTATAGTGGTCCTGTTAGACCTCAGTGCTGCATTTGATACAGTTGATCACAATATTTTACTACAAAGGCTTGAATATGATATTGGGATTACAGGAACAGCTCTAAAATGGTTTAAATCATATCTATCTGATAGATTCCAGTTTGTAAATGTAAATAATAAATCTTCTTCATACACCAAAGTTAGTCATGGAGTTCCTCAGGGCTCAGTGCTTGGGCCAATACTCTTTACTTTATATATGTTTCCATTAGGTAAAGTTATTAAACAGCATGGGATAAATTTCCATTGTTATGCTGATGACACACAATTCTATTTGTCCATTAAACCCAATGAATCCAATCAGCTACTTAGACTACAAGCATGTCTTAAAGACATAAAAACCTAGATGACCCTTTATTTTCTCCTGTTGAACACAGACAAGACTGAGGTTTTGTTTTTTGGGCCTGAACACCTTAGGAATGAATTTTTCAGTCTTTCTCCCTCCTTACATGGCATTAATCTGTCCTCCAGCTCTAATGTTAAAAATCTTGGTGTTATTTTTGATCAGGACATGTCTTTTATCCCCCACATTAAAAATGTTACTAGAACCACCTTCTTCCACCTGCATAATATCACTAAAATTAGAAACATCTTATCTAAAAATGATGCAGAAAAACTGGTCTATGCATTTGTCACGTCTAGACTGGAGCTCTAGACTGGACTATTGCAATGGTTTATTATCTGGGTGTCCAAGTTCTGCTTTAAAAAGTCTTCAATTAATCTAAAATGCTGCTGCCAGAGTCTTAACTGGAGTTAGTAGGAGAGATCATATTTCTCCATGTTTAGCTTCTCTCCATTGGCTCCCTGTCAAATCCAGAATATAATTCAAAATCTTACTTCTAACCTACAAAGCTCTCAACAACCTGGCTCCATCTTATATTACAGATCTTATTGTTCCATATTTTCCTAACAGAGCATTTGGCTCTCAGACTGCAGGTTTACTTGTGGTTCCTAGAGTTTACAAAAACAGAATGGGAGGCAGAGCTTTCAATTATCAGGCTCCTCTCTTGTGGAACCAACTTCCAATCTCTGTCCGTGAGACTGACACATTATCCATTTTTAAAACTAGGCTTAAGACTTTCCTTTTTGCTAAATCCTATAGTTAGGGTTGGCTTGGGTTTCCTGAGCTGTCCCTTAGTTATGCTGCTATAGGCTTAGACAGCTGAAGGACAAACTGACCATTTCACTCTGCTACTGTCTTTACTTACTCTGCTCAACCTGTTTGTATTTGTAATTATTTTTTCTATCCTTAACAATTTTTTTTGTCTTTCAGATAGACCTGGACCTATACCTGGACCTACCATTCTGTGTTTGTTTGTCTCTCCTTCCTGTCCTCTCAACCAGCCGGTCAAAGCAGATGGCCACTTGTCCTGAGCCTGGTTCTGCTGGAGGTTTCTTCCTTTTAAAATGGGAGTTTTTCCTTTCCACTGTTGTCACTGTGCTTGCTCAGGATGAGAGAGTGCAACAAAGCCAAGATTCAACTTGTCTGCTGGATTCCTTAGATAGAGAACTTTACTAATTGGCTTTTATATTTGTGAATGTTTCTGTAAAGTGCCCTGAGACAACTTTGTTGTGATTTGGCGCTATATAAATAAACTGAATTGAATTGAATTGAAATGTCTAGGACTGGAGGAGATCAGCTAGACTTTTTGGCAGAGAACTTATTACAATGCAAATATCAAGTTTAACCAGAACCCACGGTACTGAACACTAGAAAGACTCACAATAAAGGCAAAGGTAAAAAGGTAAGTTAGTTTATTGGCTGAAGAGGTGAAGGATGTGAAATGGGAGGATCTGCGGAGGAGGACCAGAGATGACTATTGTTATTTCCAGATTTTGGTACGTTAAAGATGAGAGGTTCCTAACGTGTAGTTTTGGTTTACAGGTTCCAAGGGGGAATGGTAGGATGTGGTTCTGTCAGGAGGAAGGAGTGACGATGAGGTGTTGTATGATGAGAGCAGACAGGCTGGGAGAGGGAGGCTCAGTCTGATCACCTGAGTTTTCAGCAGATTTGGTGCAGATGAAAGGTTCAAGAATGTTTCCAAGGAGACAGGTGGATCAAAGAGCTCAGGAAGACTTCTGCAAAGGACAAGGTGAGTTAGAGCTTTCTGAATCACATGTAGAACAAGGGGTTGAAGGTTAAATTAACATTAGTGACTAACGGCCCAACAAAGACCTGTGTCAGCCTTTTAAAAGAGCAATGAGCTGATTGAAACCATCACCAGCTCTGCTGCTCACAGAACCTGCAGTGAGCCTGCCATTAAACCAGACTAACCCTTCCCTGTTACAGTTCACTTATAGGACTCACACAATCATTTAGATTAGTTAAATGCCTGAATACTGAAAGACACATTTTTGTTTTCAAGAATTTTCAATCACCATCCGGGGGTCGAGATGGTGGTGTCTCTAAGCAGGACACTCCATCCCCAGTTGCTCCCTGGATGCCTCCAAAGACTGCCCACTGCTCCACCTGATGGCAGATGGGTTAAAGTCAAACACTTTGGGTTTCCTTCTCACAATAGTTTACTGAAATTTTGTCCCGGTTCTCCTGACAGAACCGATGGAACTGAGCCCACAGGTTTTCTATGGGTCTTTGTGATTAAACCTCCAGGCTGATGTTTTGTTAATATTTCCACATAAACTTCTTTCCTCATGATGCCATTTATTGTGTGAAGTGCACCAGTCCCTCCTGCAGCAAAACACCCCCTCATCATGATGCCACCACCTCCGTACCTCACAATTAGTTTGTTGCAAGCCTTCTCCTTTTTTCTCCAAATGTAACCGTGGTCATTATGAGCAAATAGTTTCACTTGCTTCATCAGACCACAAGGAATGTGTACAAGAATGAAGATCTTTGTCCCTATGAGCATTTGTAAATTATAAAGTTGTTTCCTGTCTTTGTCCTCTCTGAGTGTCCTTTCTGTCCATGTTGGTCTTGGACTCATTTCACTGTGGACAGACTCTCCGACCAGCCTCAGGAGCATCTTTTGGAGGCGTTTTACTTTTTTTTATGTGATCTACCACGAACACGTTCATCTCAGGACCTGTCTCCTTCCTGAGCCGTATGACTGCAGGACGTTCTCATGATGTTTATTCTTGTGTTTAACTGAACAGATAAACCTTCAGGAACGGTTCCCAAGGATGAACCAGAGTACTATAGGTCGATAAGCTCTTCCTAAAACCTCAGCTGATTTCTTTAGATTTTTCTGTGATGCCACACAAAGGAGCAGATATTTTGAGAGTCTTCTTAAAATGTGTTCACAGGTGTGACTCCAATTAAAATGTTGTCGACTAACCACTCAAAAGCTTCAAAGCCATGATGTCATCATCTGGACTTTGAATTTGGGGGTAAGCCTTCTCTGGAACGCAGACAGGCGGATCCTTCCTGACGGCCCAGTGAATGACTGCCAGGACCTGAGAGTCAACTGGGGGTCACTTGAGGTCAGCAGCTTGTCCTAAAGGTCACCCAGGAGTCCCAGCTGATGGTTTCAGGAACAGAACTGGAGAGGTAGGGCTTTCTTGGCATCAGCTCACGAGCTTCAAGTTCAAGGAGCGTTCTGCTGAACTTTTTTCTTTCACTTTAAAGCTACATGAACAAAACACACGGCAAACATTTATTTCAACATTTCTTAAACATTTACCGTTTTCACTGAGAACATGTCTTTTTGTATAAAACCAGAATCAATCCTTGTTTATGAGTCTCAGGAGAGGTGTCAAAAGAAAAAGGGCGAAGAGTTGTTCATAATTATAAAGACATTGTCCAGTGTGTGTGTGTGTGTGTGTGTGTGTGTGTGTGTGTGTGTGTGTGTG